TCAACAGATCTCCTTGCTTCTGCATTAAAACAACATTTGTTTTTTAGTCATTTTATTTGCACATAAGTTTTGGGGGATAAATTCTGCTCAAAACAAGATCTAGTATTTGTATAAGATAAAATCTGGGAATGACAGGAAACTGGGAATTAAGGTTTTTCTTAAATAGATCTGTACCCATATCACAGCATATACATGTAAATATTGAAGTGGAGCAAAAAAAAAAAAAAACAAAGATTAAGTGTTCCTCTGTACTCTGAAAGGAATATATTTAATGGGCATGAAGTAACAAAACTATCTGTGAGAAGTATTAGAGGTAGCAGTCTTGGTATACAAAACTGTAATGTTGATGCAACGATACATTTAAGCATGTTTAGGTGAGTTGAAAAAAAAAAAACTTTGTTGGGGAACTCTCCTGCACTGCTTGTGGGAATGCAAACTAGTACAACCACTATGGAAAACTGTTTGGAGGTTCCTCAAACTGCTAAACATGGAGCTTCCCTACGACACAGTCTGCCTAGGGTAGACTCCTAGGTATCTACCCAAAAACCACAAAAACAATGATTCAAAAAGATACCTGCACCCCCATGTTTATTGCTGCTTTTTTCACAATTGGACATACATGGAAACAGCCCAAATGCCCAAAAATGGATGACTGGATTAAAAAGATGTGGTACATGTACACAATGGAATATTACTCAGCAACCAAAAAAGAAGAAACACATGTCTTTTGCAGCAACATGGATGGAACTGGAAAAGAGCATGCTTGGTGAAATAAGCCAGAAAGAAAAGGAAAACTATCGGATGGTTTCTCTCATAGCAGGGATATAATGGAGCAGGCGAGAAAATAATGATAATGATGAACAGCCATATATCAGAGACATTTTGTGGGGATGGAGTGGGGAATGGGGTCAAGAACAGCAGGGTGAGGAAAATGCACTGGACTACGGTGATCGCACATGGGTGATTTGGTGATGGGAAGCGAAAGGGGATTGCAAATGAGATGAAAAGATGCACAAAATGTAAAAATAAACTATGATATATTTAAAAAAAACTTCTTTGGATGATTGTTTTGATAATGAAGTATGCTTTGCCAATGAGCTTTTTTTTTTTTTTTAAGATTTATTTATTTGTGCATACAGAACTGGGATACAGGCCAGAGATGCCGAGGGTGAGAGGATTCACCAGAGACAGAGTGGGGAGCAGAACAGGCAGATCCACGAAGTACACTGCTGAGGGGAGCAGCGGGCGGGTCAGGAGAGATCTGCCACGCCATGTGGTCACCTCCGGGGCAGGCGGGAATCGAACTCATGCGGAAGTGGCTTTAGCTTCTTAGTGCTGTGCTTTAACCTGCTGCGCCACCAGGGAGGGCCGCCAATGAGCTTTTAAGTTAGATATTTTACATACATTGAAAAATCCAAATCTGGAGTTCTAAGGTTTTAACAAAAGATATCTTTAAAGCTCACGATAAAAGCATTTTAAGAAACAGTTTTGCACTGGTAAAAGAAATATAGAAATATTAATATTTCTATTTCCTCTACTGACTAAAAAAATAGGGTACCTTGCCAATAAAGGAGTTAAAGTATATTATTAGTAAATTGATAAGTCTTTTCAAAGATTTTTAGGTATACTTCCCAGAAGCTCAGAAACTGAGTGACTCAAACAAAGGACATCTACATGAGATACCTGATGATAAATCATAAATAATTTCTGGTGACAGGATATTACATGATTTTTAGCATATATCTTGGAAGGAAATGAAAGATTGAGTGACATTGCTATTACAAAATGCCAACCATACTCACTTATTTATTTGAAAGATTTTATCCGTGTTCATGAGTATAAAACTTAAGCCTTAACCTGTGAACTACTGACAAAATACAGCACCATTCATTTCACTAAAAGATACAATTAAATATGCCATAAGAGGTTATATCAGACTAACTCTTGTGGATAAGATTTATATACTTTGGAGAAAATATAAAAACAGTTATTTGACAACACTAGAAAGTAAACTGATGCAAGTAGACATCTTGAAGACACTCTTCAAAGAACTGAAATACAATATGTGTGACTTAAGTTTCTGCATGTTTTTCATCTTAGGAAAGGTAAATGGAGTTCAATCAGGACACTATAGTCTTAGTGGCTGTAAGATTTAAAGAGTGGGTATATAAAAGAACAGGAAAATTTGATTAGTAATCAAGAGAAAAATCAGTTAGTAGAAGCTGATTTCCAGAGGCCTCAGGTATAAGAATTAGCAAAAAAAAAAAAAAAAAAAAAAAGTAAACAGTTTTTATACATATTTCCAAGGACTTAAAAGATATGAGTTATAATGAATTAGCAGATGTAGACATTCTAAAAAAAGAACAAAATGGAAATTTTAGAACTGAAAAGTAAAGCAGAAATAAATCACTGGGTGGCCTAAGCAACTAACTGGGGAAATGAAAGCTTGACAACCTTAAAAACAGATTAATTATCCAATATGAACAGAAAAGTTATTGAAGAAGATAAACAGAACTTTGGGATAACAACAAAGAGTCTAACATATATAAATTAGAATCCCAGAAAGGAAGTAGAGTAGGATAAAAGAAAAACTGAAAAAATAACAGCTAAGATTTTCCCAAGTTTGGTGACATACAAACATTTACAGATTCTACATAAATAAATTCAAGACCATTAAAGATGAAGAGAAACTCTTAAAGAAACTAGAGAACACAACATAATACAAATTGAGTGTGTTGGTGGAGAGAAAGATGCGGGAACAATGAAGGTGAGAGAACAACATGGTAACATTTTCAGAGTTGAATTTGGAGTGTGTGCAGAGCAACACTAACCCAGAATGCTATATCAAAGAAAACATTCTTTTAAAGTGATGGTGAAGAATATTTTAGTTAAATAAAATGCTTTCAAAAACTTTTCATAGGAAAGGGAAATGATACTAGACAGATACTAGAGTTATAGGAAGGAATGAAGGACACAACAAATGGTAAAACTACTGGTAAATTCAAAACAACTATCTGCTGTTTGCCTAATTTCCTTAAAAGATATCTAATTGTTTAAGGCAAAAGTTATTTACATATTAAGCATATATGGTCTAATATATATGACAACTATAACAGACGATGGGGGATAAATAGAACTACACTTTTGCAAGGTTATTGTAGTTTATTTCAAATACTACAACATAAGATGTTACACGGAGGTAACTTAAGGAAACACACAATAAGTGCTAGAGAAAACATTAATATAAAGAGGTTTAGCAAGAGGTCAGTCAAGATGAAATATTGAGTAATCCAAGAAGAAGCAAGAACAGAAAAGCAACAATAAAATGATGAAATAAATTGAAAGCAAATGACAAGATAATCGATCTAATAATACATTTTATAATACATTAAATGTAACTAGACTAAAAACTCTAATTAAAAGGGAAAAGTTACTAACTAGATTTATTTTTACAGTCAAGATCAATGATAAGCTAGCTATAAAGATACATGTATGTTAAATTTAAAGACACATGTAGACAAAAAAGAATGGAAAAGATTAACAAGGCAAACAATAGGCCTATGAAAGAAAGTGTTTATATTAATATCAGACAAAAGGCTCCAAACTAGAAGTATTAGGAGAGACAGGAGGAACATCTGTTTCTCTCTCTCTCTTAGACACACACACACACACACACACACACACACACACACAGCCAAATCATCAGGAAGCTATAAACATCGGGTGTATGAAACTATTAACATAATTTCAAAAAACATAAAGCAAAAATTCACCTAAATAAAATGAGAATAGACAAATCCACAACCATAGCTATATTATTCTATATCCCTGAGTGAGTGATAGAACTAAATTAAAAACCCAAAGGTATATAGTTGATCTGATGATAATATCAACACATCACTGACTTGATATTTATAGTGACAATTTATAATTATCACTCAATTGTAGAATACATTCTTTTTTAAAGGCACATGGAATGTTCACCAAAGTAGGTAATATGCTGGCTTCTGAAGTAGTTTTTCAAGAGATATCAAAAGTTTGAAATTTTAGTGTACCTTCTCTGTCCACAACAGAATTAAGTTGGAAATCAGTAATAATTCTAGGGTGCCACTAAATATTTGAAAATTAAACAACACAGTTCAAAGGAGTCAAAGATATATTCATAAGGAAAATTTGAAACTAGTTTGAACCCAATGAATATGAAAGCACAACTTAGCAAAAACCATGGAATGCAAATAAAGCAGTGTTTAGTGGGATATGCCAGGCTTTAAGTGCTTATATTTTTAAAATAGATCCACAATCAATAATGCAATCTTCTCTTCTATTCTAAGCAACTCGAAAGAGGAAAGCAAATTCCAATACAGCAAGGGAAGGAAATTAAAAAAGAGCAAAAACCAGTATACTGGAAAACAGTCAATGAAACCAAAAGATGACTCTTTGAAAAGATTTTGTATAAAATTGATAAAGTTCTAGCTAGATTGCTTAGCAAATACAAAAGCCCACTATCAGGAATGTCTGAACAAAAGACAAAAATCCTTGCCCTCCTGATTGTAAGGTATGTGTTCCACAATTACACAAAGAACTGCAAAGGTAGAGACAGTTCCGGGAGAACTGCAGAAGAAGGTCTTGTCAGGAGGGAGAGCAACGTTTGCACCTATTTGTTAACTCTGGCCCCTGGCC